TTTGAAATAAAAAATATGAAGAGAAAAAAAAACAGAAGTCGTCTGATCTTGAACGGGCTGCGATCAGGATAAACGTGCAATCTCCACTTCACCAGGCAGAGTTTTGTTCCGTGTTGCTACATTGTAGCCATGGAAGTTGCCCGTGTGCCTGCTGTATTTCTAGAAAAACACGGACATTGTGTGGATGGAGAAACTTTTAATAGAGAAACTGACGGTTTCAGGCTGTGTAGTGATATTGTAAATGGTAAATTTCACACTCGAATCTTTTTCAACCATGCCAATTGCTTTATGTCATGTTTGGCGGAAATATAAAATTAAAAATTGGCTAAACATTGTATATTTTTTGTTTCAATTGTCAAAGAATTTTTTTTGAATCAGTGGATCTGTAATCCAAAATATAAAAAATGTGGCCTAAGGCCAAAAAAATAATGTCTCCGGTTTCTGGTATGCGCGCGCGTTGCCGTAGCCATGCGCGTCGGCAAAATGAAAAAGTTTTTTTTTTCAATAAAAGATGATGTCTCAAAACCGCCAAACTCACTGGTTTGACTGGAATTCTGCTGCTGCACAATTTAAACGAGTTTTTAGATGGGGTTATGATCGAGAATAAGCTTTATGTGGCCTCTCTGGACTCCCATATATTTGCACTAAGTTTAGTCGGGCACCATTTGCAGTCATCAGCCGACATTTGAAGCCAAAAAAAAAAAAAAAAAACAGGTAAAAAAAAAAAAAAAGCCGCGTCGCCACACCACTTTTGGGGCAAATTTTATACCAGAAACCAGATACTTTTTTTTTTTGGCCTAAAGTGTTAGTTTTTTACGTATAAATGAACTAAAAAATAGGACTTATCCATTGATAGCGTGGTTGGTACATGTGGGTACATGTGCATGAATTCAAGTTTCTGCATTGCGTGCTTTCATGAACTTCTTCAGACAGGTTTAACACACTGCTCATGCTGCATCAGAGAAGGAAACTGATTTACAAATTGGTAGTCAAATGTCTGCACAGATTCCTATGCCAATTCTGGTTGCCTTTGTCAAGCTTATTCTCAACTAAACATACCTGAATGATGTCAGAAGATATTTCTGCAATCAATTTGGCAGTTTGATGAAGAAACTGGTGGACTATTTGGTGGATTCTCACTCTCTGGATTGACTTGAATGTCTGTAGGGTGTGGCATTGCTCACTGCCTGTAAATTCCCAATTCTATAAATACACCAGACTGCAATGGATCACAGGTCACACAGTTGAACTTGTATTGCCTAGTCAACAGGTATTGTTATTTTGTGAACACCTTCGAAGGCCCAGTTTCTGGTAACAATAGATTTACCATGGGCCTGTTCCAGTCACTGTGTTACACTGAAGCAGAAATATGAATATAACACATGTAATATATTGAACTGTAGTCCTATTGGTACATGTACATGTCTGTACATTTGTATGAAATTTCTGTAGCAAAGGGAATATATGCCAATGTATGCATGGCATTCACTAGATTACAATGCAACATATAGAACATTACAAGTTAGTTATTCCTGTCAGTCCCATTTGGAAATCTTTAAACAAAAATACAGCATTGTGTGGTACCTTACATACGTGTAATATTCATTTTCACATTTCTTAAGGAATTTTCATGATTATTTGCAGACCATAGAAATAGTGTTTGTACTGTTCACCAATACTTTCAATGCAGATATGATATGAGATATGGGATATTTGTGATGACTTGACTTAAGCTTTTGAAAAATGTTTTTTAAAAAGGAGCATTGGTTTTTTACCCCTCAGCCGAGAGGCTCGAGGGGTATTGTCATCACCTACGGCGTCCGTCTGTCTGTCAGTGCGTCCTGACCATACCCCCCTTGTGGGGTGATGTTCCTTTCAGGACACATCACCCCACTTTTTTCACAATAGAAAAACATCACCCCAGAAGGGAATCTTTAGAAAAAGGGATAATGGGAACACAATGCTATCACCCCACAATTCCGTCTGGCTGGAACGGCCGTATGTCTGTCCAGGCAGCTTAGTTTCCGGATGATAACTTGAGTTAGAAATGTTGTTTGGGATTGTAACTTCGGTAGGGGGTTGCCCTTGGGAGAAGGCAAGTTGGGATTGGTTTTGAGGTCAAAAGATCAAAGGTCAAGGTCACCGTGGTGAGTTATCGGTAAATGGTTTCCGGATGATAACTTGAGTTAGAAATGAGATTTTGGTGTCTAACTTTGGTCGGGGGTTGCCCTTGGTAGTAAGCAAGTTGGGATTGGTTTTGGGGTCAAAATGTCAAAGGTCAAGGTCACTGTGGTGAGCTAAAGGTAAATGATTTCTGGATGATAACTTGAGTTAGAAATGAGATTTTGGTGTCTAACTTAGGTAGGGGGTTGCCCTTGGGTACAGGCAAGTTGGGATTGGTTTTAGGGTCAAAAGGTCAAAGGTCAAGGTCACCATGGTGAGTTAAATGTAAATATTTTCTGGATGATAAATTGAGTTAGAAATGAGATTTTGGTGTTTAACTTTAGTAGGGGGTTGCCCTTGAAAGTATAGGCAAGTTGGGATTGGTTTTGGGGTCAAAAGGTGAAAGGTCAAGGTCACCGTGGTGAGTTAAAGGTAAATGGTTTCTGGATGATAACTTGAGTTGGAAATGAGGTTTTGGTGTCTAACTTAGGTTGGGGGTTGCCCTTGGGTACAGGCAAGTTGGGATTGGTTTATGGGTCAAAAGGTCAAGTTCAAGGTCACTGTGGTGAGTTAATGGTTTCTGCGTGATAATTTCCATTAGACATGATATTTGATTTCGGATTGTCAGTTTTCCCTTTTCGACAAACTTAGGCTGAGGGGTTTCAACAGCAACGCTGTCATTTTTGTGTCTACCTTGCAAAGAAAATAAAAAACTGCAAATGATCCTTGTTAATGTTTCTGGCATCTAAAATGAGTTCATTATGGATGATTTAAAAACAGAATCAATTTTTCAATTTGGCAGATTAATAGCTACTTGTTGTACACCCTATCAGATTCAATAGGAATAAATATTTCCAATTTTAGGTATTTTTTATAGTTTCACTATACTACTTGTGATCATATTGTGATAAAAGTGTCCAATACATATCATGACAAATGGTTACACCCCTGTTCCTACAAATTCAACCGTTCATTAATGATGTCATAGACTAGGCCAGCAGTACACATTTCAGACATTAATTTTGTGGATATCTAATTTATTAACGTTTGCTCAAGGAATGAAGGGGATACATGATTCAGTCAGTCTAATCATAAAAAAAAAATGTGGAGACAAAAGTTTCCCATCATGAAAATCTGATTAATGACTAATACATGAACATTTATATGGTGATAAAATTATTATTTCTTAAGAAACAACAAGGTATATGCTCTTATGAAAACCATTGTCTCTCACACTGTATGAAATGGCAAACTCTTCTGGTTTTTAGGAAGTAAAGGATTACGAAGGTTGATAACCCATATGTTGTCAAATTATCCAGGTTGACTTGTCCTAACTAAAGTCCCCTAAGTCATGATGAAAGTTGCTTTATTTCACTTTAAAAGGAGAGGAAGAAAAACGCTTTACGAAAACAAAAATAGTTCCGACAGTATTCTCAGACAGTATGCTCTGGCTACTTTCATTTTTTTCTATAAACATTCTAAGCTTCTCTGTACATTGAGTCAGGTCCCTTTGATTGGCTGAGCCAAATGTCCAAATTCAACTAGCCTTGGATCCAAGTTGATATTTAGAATGCACCACCAGGATTCTAAGAAAATGAGTGATTTTCTTTGAATTCAGGAATTGCCAAAAAATAGGTGGTTTTTTTCTTCTTAAACTACAAGAAAAGATATGTTCAAGTTTTGCTGCACACTTTTTTTTATGAAATTGCTCACTGTAAGGTAATTAATGTAAGGTCTCACTGAGTAAGACAGTCACACCACTTTCTTGGTCTAGATCCAAGTCAGAATTTTGGATTATTATTGGTAGAAACATAATAACAAACGAGTAAAATGATGATGACATTAGCTAGCTCTAAGAATACAATCATTTACCCAAATTGAATATATATGTACTTTTAACCATGGGTGTCAATCTTTGGGGGGGGGGGGGGAGACCAGGGGGACATGTCCTCCCCCTACACACACCTTTTGAAGGATGGGAGACACAATATCAAATGTTGGCCCCCCCCCCCCAGATTTTTGAACTTGTGTGTCTTATTTACAGGGCCCTATAATGTACTACAATGTATCTTTTGCTAAGAAAATATTGGTTGAAGTGTTCAGAAATTGCCTCAGCATCTAGAATCAATTTTTGGGGGGCCCTTAAGCAGCCCTGAACCCCGCATTGTAAGGGCATCGCGTTTCGTGCTCCCATTTTTTCTGATCGAGGTATGTCCCCCCCCCCCACTTTTGAGAAGTGATTGACGCCCCTGCTTTTAACACATTGTTGCATCTAAAGAAGTTCTCATGTTCAGAAATGTAAAGTTACGTGAATGCTTATTTACAGAATGGGTTTCAAGTTAATACAAAAATGTCTTCTGTTTCTTACCATTAACCCTTGTTTATATTGTCATCGTTTTGACAAAGGCTCTAATCTTTGCTCACAGCTGCAAAACCAACTTTTGAGAAAATAATGTTTGAAATTGAACGATTTCTCTTTAAACTTGAAAAATATATAACTGATGCGATAGCCCATTAGTTCAATAGCTCAAAATTATCTCCGTTTTTATGAAAGCTTGTTTAATTAGAAAATTAGAAAACATAAAAGATATTCATCACTTCATCAAAATGGAAGTGCTACGGAAATGTCACAGGTACCTAGCATTGTGTTTGTACACAGATTCGTTTTGTGTGCATGTATAAAGGTTATACAATTTAGAATGCAGATTCTTCACGTTATCAAAATGCAAATTATACAGGCTAAATACATTTAAATATAGTCCACGTATAAAATCAATGAGACTAAGTGACGAATAGGGATTCTTCAATTTCGTCAAAATGAAAAGAAAGTTGTCACACATTCACCTCTTTGTGTTATTAGCCTTATTAATGAATGAAACAATTTTGTGTCTAAAAATGTTGGAATTATGTACAGTTAGAATGTAAAACAAATCAAATTGTTTCGTCATTGATTTGTCACATTGTCAAAATGGCGACGATTATGTACAGATAAATTGCCACACAATTTTACAGCATTCCAATCAACAGTAGCTTGACTGTTTTCTTTCCCTAAAAGAAAGCTGCGGCTGTCTTTACAGGGAGAGTAAACAAAAACTCTATGAATTGGTACTTTTTTTTTACAAAGCCTTTATCCAAGATTGATGAACCAGTGATAATCAGTCATCAAATTATTTCAAATGGATCTGCAATTTGAGTGATTTTTAAAATTAAAAGGTCAGTAATAAAATCAACCAAGCTTTGTACATAATGTACATCCTTTCTATTTTTGAGATGGCTATCACATTTTGATTCTCAAAACTGAGAATATTCTATCTCTTATTTCCCACTCCTTAGAGTAAGATCATCGGTTTTATTACATTTCTATTTTAGAAAACTAGGGTATGAAAAACGGTAGGCAAGGATGATGGTTTGTTACAAGTGTTATCCATTAAAGGGGATTATTAACATTTGCATGATGGGATTTTACCTGACTTCCAAGATGAGTGCTGATTTTAATTTTATGGCACTGGCAACTACATGTAACAATGGAAGTCTATGCTTACAATTACAGCTATTACATGTAGTTGGCAAAGAAAGTCTGCAGTAACCAAGTAATTATGCATATGGAATCCTTCAGTTATCAGCAACTGAAAAAATAAATTATGTGGGGAAAATGATTATGCGGGGAATACCTATTTCCCAATTTCAGTTCTGTTTGTGTTAGGAAAAGAAGTTTTGGATATTTCGGATACCGTGAGAATTTTAGTTTGAACGGGTGTTGCTTATTTAATTTCCTTTACTTTTCCATATTCTCTGGTGTAATTATTCTGTCCTCACACGCGGTAATAGACCTGTACAGACTTTACTGCAGCCACTACCAGATCACCATCCGATGTGAATGTCATGCCACATGGATGACCGCAGTCCTTGATCGCACATCCAATGTACTTGCCATCAGGACTGTAATGCAGAATATCACCTGTTGGATATCCATACACAGCAACATAGATGCTGCCATCACTGTCACAGCACACACCAGTAGGGCCCCAACTCCCCTGTATGCTGCTGGTCATGTCTACTGAGAATACACTGGCACCATAGTAGTCTACACATACCAACCTTTTTGTTAATCGTGTTGTGTAGATAAGGTGATAATTGTACATTGTCAGATAATCATCGATCATTGGAGCAGGCAGTCTCCTGATGAGGGATCCATCTGGGTTGTGTAGAGATATCTCCTTCTTGTCTTCATAACCCACGGCTATCAGATTGCTGTCATCCACTGCAAGGCATGTTGGTTGGCTGTCTGACCCTCTACGTGGTGTGAACTGATGGAGGAGCTGATGTTGCTTGTTGAAGACCTTGACTAATCGACCATCTAGAGCAAGGAGCTTGTCATCCTTGCTCGCTGCAATACACTTCATGCCATTGATTTGTAGCTGTTGTGGGATAGGAATTAGTTGCTGATGACTATTGGGAATTGCAATTGTGAATAGTGTATTACTCGTTCCCTGCAATAATGTAAAGATAACTGGTGTTTGAGATAGTGCAAGGATTGTTTTGTTAGAGAGTGCTGCAACTTGTTTTATCAATGTACGTTCGTAATCAAAGCTCTTGACTTCAGTCTTCAGTTCCCATTTGTCCTTCACACATGATCGTGCAGGTCTTGGTGATTGCTTTGCTACAGCCTTTGGCTCTTCTTTTTTCAGAATGAGTCTCCCAAGTGACCTCTCACCTTCTTCAAAGTCCATGAAGGTCAACTTGTCAGGAACTTGCTGTGGCTGTTTCCCTGTCAATTCACTGAGGTTATGCAAGAGCTTCTGTTGGAGTTCAAGAATCTCATAGCAACTTGCTTGATTCATGAGTTGTTTGACCTCCTCCAGCTTGTGCTCTGTCTGTGTTACCTCTTTCCTGTTGGTTGCTTGAACAGCTTCAAAAGCTATGGTTTTGTCTTTATAAATTGTGTCTGTCTCTTTCAACAATTTCTGTTCTTCCTTTTGGATCTTTGTAATCTCCTTTTGGATCTTTGCAACCTCCTGTTGGAGCTTTGTAATCTCCTGTTGAGCCTTTTTGGAGATTTTTTTTTGAGTGTTGGCAAACATGGCGTCCAGCTCCTTGCGAGATTTGGACGTCTCCTTGATGGTGGTGCTCAATTCTGCTTTTCTTCTCTCACTTTTTTGGACCATTTCTGTGACCCTCTTCTTACATTTCTCTACTGCCTCAGGTAATCCAGTGAGTGAGTGTTTTGCATGATCAAGTACAGAACAAGTTGTGCATATGACTTGCTCACATGAGTTGCAGTAGACATTGAGATTCTGATCAGGATGCTTGCCACATTTTGGAACTTTTTCTCTTAGTTTACTCTTGTAGACAATCTCTCCTGATTGAAGTTGAGCCAGTGTACATATTTTGTGAGATTTCATCATCAAAGTCATACGTCCATGTGCCTTTTGACATTCTTGACAGAGGAAATGATCACAGTCCATGCATCTCGAAATTGCCTGATTCTCCTCATCACAGGCTTGGCATTTGATCTCTGACCCTTGACCTTCCAGTAGCTTTTCCTGCATTGTAACTTCCTCCACCAGGGCACTGAATGCAAAGTTATTAGGAAGATCAGCAACCCCAGACCCTTTCAACACGGTTTCTCGTCTGCACAGAGGACATGTCAGCTTTGTACCACTAGGATCTTGGCTCTGTCTGAGCTCTTGGAGGCATTGCAGGCAAAAACTATGCAAACAGTCCAGCAGTTTGGGCTGCCTGAAACGGTTGGTGCAGATGGAGCATTCCAGATGATCCACACTAATCTTTTCCAACACTGATTGAACTGTAACATTAGATGCCATCCTCACTGTTGGGCTTGGTGCGATAGGATGGACATTTAACCTGCAAATAAAAGGTTTGGAATTACATGTATTCAAACTTCAAATGATGATATTGTTGTAATAGGTCAGATGTAAAGTTGAAAACTTTTTGTCAAGTACATTATTCACAAATTGAAGGTATATTCACATGGTATATGCTTGTTTTAAAACTGCTGTTGTTTAGTTTTGTTCAAAAGAAAATAGCAATCAGTTGTAACAAATGTACAATATATGGTTACCTTGTTAAAGGGAATACACAACATTTGTTTCTGCTGTAATATTCAGAAATGGATGTATTTGGTGGTTAGTATTTTGTAGCAAATATTGTTATGTTGACTTTTTTTAAGTTTTGTGTTCGTAGATACTAGAAAAACCACAAAAAAACAATCCTGTTCTTGTAGACTGGTTCCCCGACCCAAAATGATGAAATGGAGCAATTTATAGACGTCAGGGAATTGGATCAGGGAACCAGTCTAGCTTGCTTGTACCCATTCATAGGAGTGTAATTGATTGCAAACTAAATCTGTTAAATTGGGGGTTTGAAAAGAGTCAGTTTTGTCCAATGCTGTTCAGTCGACCAGCATTGGAAATTGATACAAAAATACCACTTTTCTTGAAAATGTCAGCACGTGCCATGATTTTACAGGATTCTTTAGACTGTCATTCACTAGCAGTGCAGTAAGGTATTTCATAATAATTTGGTAGTTTTGTTTTTTGATGTTTGCAAATGTTGTTTATTCCCTTTAATGTAAGAGCATAACTATATATTTTGTCCTGACAAATGCAACATTAAATAATTCGTTTCAGCTGTTATGGGACATTTTTTACGCCTAAGGTAAATTATAATAAAATTCATAACAAGTCAAACAAAAGTAGGTCACAAGTGAAAGGTTTTCCACTTTGACAAAAAATGCCTTTTGCCACAGTTTTTAATATAAACAGTTTGTGAGTTGACCTGACGAAGAATGACATTTCATTGACTTTATGAGGATGTGGCTTCAGGTCTGAATGAAACAGTTCACACAAAAAAAAGAATATTTTTTTCTAATACTGGGTTTTGCCCTCACTGACGTATTTTAATAAACACTGTATACTCGGTGTTGTAAAAAGTTCATGAAAAGAGCACTCACTGTAAATACTTGGTAAATTTAAAAATTGGGAGTAGGGGCTAGTACCATCTTCCTATGAGGGCACTGTTCAAACCAGACGATCATGGATAATATGTGGCAATTGTCAGGACGGCACAATCGCCGATGGTTGCGTGAAATTTTAAAAAGGGCACTCGTAAAAGGCCGCTGGTAACAAAAAGGGCACTGGTTTAAAAAAAAAGGGGCACATATTTTTTAAAAAAAATTTAAAAAAATTACGAATAGGGGGGGGGGGGTGGTAAATGCTGATGTAAAAGGGGCACTTGTATACGAAAGGTAAGTCTTACTGTTACTCAGGTGGGGCTTGAACCCAGTACCCCCTGTTTAGTAGTGCAGTTGTCTTATCACTCCACCTCTGAGCTTGCCTGGGTCAGTTGGGTGGTTTGAGTCAAGGTGGGCAGGAGTTACGGCGATTGTAAAGTGTAGGGCCTGGTTCCTGCAAGGGAACAAAATCCACTTTAAAATTATTGGACCTACCAAACTAGTTGGCGACATTCTCAATGAACAGGTATGTCATGGATAGAGGACAGGGTTTAGATTTTTTGAGTGAAATTAGGGGGTGAAATGATGATGAAAGAGCGGCGACAACACGCAACCCAAAATTAAAGATGGTGATCACCGCGCAACGTACCGTGAGCATGCATGGCGCGCCGAATCGCAAGGCACGAATCACACAGGAAAGCCGAGATTTCTACCCCAAGAATCTGTTCAAAATTGCAAAACGGGTGTCATTAGAATTGAGAAAAGTCTGCTTTTGATTGTAAATGTGATTTTTCAGCTATAAAAACATTTTTGAATCTAATTTGATCCCAAAAAAACAGGGGCCCTACACTTCATGATCGCCAAAGTTTCTGCAACCCAATATTGCCTGTACCGAAAAAAAATATATATTTCAAGTACTTTAACTGGCCAATATTTCAATTGAAGACTTGTCAAAAAAGTCCACTTTTCTGAAAGAAAAGTGCACTAACTTTAGAACGAAAGACTTGCCTTCCATCGTTTTGATTTTTGGTTATATTATTATTTTTTTGTAATTTACTCAGCTATACCTGTGCCAAATCTTCTTAAAGGTCCAACACTTGTTTGTAAGAGACTACATGTAAGTACAAACAATGCATGTCACTTATTTCTGTCGTGAATAGAAGGAGATTCATGTATTCCACATGTCTGTATTCTAACAGGTTTGACGGATCCACCTGCATTTCCAGTAAATACGTATACACATGTAATTGGCAAATACTGAGTTATTACATACATGTTCTTCATATGAGATAATGTGATGCTGTTGATTGATATCAGATGTACAGACAGACTTACAGGTAGACCTATTAAATAAAAATCTTACCTTCATGTACACATGAAATGAGCCATTGCTATCTGCCCATTCTGATGTCACTTACGGCAATGGTAGAAATGAACAAAGATGGCGATCTACTGTATATATACGCCCCTCTGTATCAACATGGACCATATCACATGATGTTGAGTTCAGTTATTTGCAGTCACTGGAGTCCACTTATGTAGCGCTTTGGTACGTGCTGTACGAGTAAAATCAAACACAGCATGCGACTGTTTTCTACATCGAACGGATCCAAAGGTCTATAGGCTGTTAATATTAACAATTTGCCAGACAGGTTTATCAGAATAGTAAACAGAAAGGAGCCACTAGTGTCAAGCTGAATTTCATGGCAAATGACATTTGTTGTAGATATCTTTTGATATGTCAATTCAGGAAACTCAAGTCTGTAGTATAGACAAAAGTAAACTAATAAGAAAGAGGTACATGAAATGAACCGACAATGATAGTTTTGGAATCAAGTTTGGTTTTGTTGGTTGTTTTTTGTTTACTTTCTTTATATTTATCCACATTTTAGCAAGTGTGCAATTGGTGTTTTACATTACACTCAACGGCACTGTGCTTGCATAGTTTATCTAAGTTATATTCATCATAACTAAAGTTATTATTTCTTTCAGTGATTCACCATCAGTGCTTCATTACAAAATGTCCAAAACTCACATTTTTAATGCTTTCTCTTTTATCAATAAGCTACATGCATCCCAATTATTAAGTTGATGCAGCACTAAATTTAAATATTCATTCATATTTTGTGCCTTCCGTAGGCTGATTGGTCCATTGCTGAGATGAATGCTGAGATTAGAGAGATCAAGCCACGCCTACCTCTACACATCACAGACTGATAAACAGGTAACACAACATCAATATGTGGTGTCAGTCTATTTTTAATCTGTATATGGCTGCTCAAGAAGGCAAGCACCCGATTTCATAAAACTCTTCATAACTAATGAAGCATCGCAGTGCTGCGATGCGTCGTATCCTTACGATGCATCGCAGCTGCGACGCGTCCTGCGATCCATTTCACAAAACACGTCGTTAGTGCGACGCGTCGTAGGTGTATTTATAGCACCACTCGGTCACTGTTTAATGTATTAAGTCAGCGTACAGTAAATAGTTGTCTTGTATTCAACAAAGAGTCGTCGGATCTCCGCTCAAAATTTGTTAAAACGTAAAACAAAATGGCGATCGTGCGATGCAATTTTGAAGGAAAACAAGCTCTCAGTAGACTATATAGCTACTTTGAAATTTCAACTGCAATATTCCAGTGTAATTCATAAATATTCAATGAATGTTTTATTTACAACTTTACACATATTTCCTCGGTATTATAATGTCATTTTTGTAATATTTATGGCATGAAAATGGCTAAGAAATGGACTCTTCTTATTTTGCGATGACAACGAGACATGTCGTAACTTGCGACGTGTTTTATGCCGTTGTCAAGGAACTTACGACGCGTTCAACACATCGCAACTTTCGTGAAATGGATGATACGACGCATCGCGAGATGCGAAGTGTTACACGTCGTAACTCGAGTTGCGACGCGTCGCAGCGTTTCGTGAAATCGGGTGCAGGGCAGTGGTGCAAGTTTTCAGGATATAGCCTGAAGTCAGGCTTTTTTCATATTTTGGAAAAACAAACTCAGGCATTCCCTCCCTTCACAGGCCAGAAATATAAATCATCAACGCCATGCTATAGCTTGATACATGATTGTATGAATTGTAAGTTCAAAGTAGACATACATATCATGTACACATGTGTGGTATTGCAATGTGTTTACAATGTGTTGGCATTCCTTTGTTATTGTTCAACTCCTGTTACCTGTAACTGAACTTGTAAAGGGACTTGTGATTTACTAATAAAAGGACATGTGATCTTGCTTGTAATCTTGCTTGTAATTGAGGGTTGAGTTGAAGCCTTGGGCTTTTATGACCCATTGAATCTTGGTCAGAACTAACTGATCTGAGCTTAAAGAGGGCATATGGTTGCAGAATAGAAATAACACAAACGAAAAGCACTTGATGAGATATAATCAATGATTAATATCTTGGAGTGAGTTTGCACTTGTGGAATTTTCAAACATTATTGAGATTGCTATTAAAAGAACTATGGACTTGTGATGGACTCACTACAACATAGACTGTAATTCAGCATATTTTGGTTCCCATTTTCTTTTCTTCCTGTAAATTTTTTTTTTCTCTCCAAAAGTAAACATTGCATTGACCAGGGTAATTTCCCTTGATTTCTGACATCTCTGAAAAATACAAATAAATTTCCTTTCCAATGTGTAGCATTTCAAGAATTCCACCAGAACATTATCTGGCACAACTTTTCTTTATAATAATATTATATTTCATAAGTACTGTGTTATCTGAGAGTGCTCTGGAAAAAAACAATCACATGCTTACTCAGGTTGGTTTTGAACCCATGACCTCCTGCTATTAGAGTATAAAATGAAATGGCAGAAAATATAAATCCACTTTGTTTCACCCCATATTTCAAAATAAAACAACTGCAAAATTAATAGAGTATTTAGTTCAATTCCACAAAACTTTCAACACACTGCCAACAGCTTTGTTAATAACTTACTGTTTCTTTTTTTTTTAATATTGCTCTGTCATTTTTGGATTGCATTCACAAGCTGGTGGTGCATGAGATCCGTGTCTCATGGACAAGGTTCAACAGAGATGCGGTGCTGGGACTCTATGACACCTACAACAAGTCACAGGTAAACAGTTCCATTCAGTGTTCAGGCCTAAACAATGTGGCTTGTGTTAGAAATCAAAAAGTTCTCATTGATAACTTGGAGGCAGTATTTCAAAAAAATGCCATTTCTTCCTACAGCTGGTCGGCCGACCGGTGTTGGAAATTGATAAAAAAAATACCACTTCTTGAAAATGACAGTTCAGTAAGGTATAATTTTCATAATAATTTGGTAGTCTTGGGTTTGTGATGTTTGCAAGTGTTGTATATTCCCTTTAAGGCTTCATGTACATTGCAGGGAAATAAAAAGTTGGTGGTTCTTCTAAGATGTAACAAATTTTTATTTCCTCAATGCTAATTCCATTTCAAAAATACATTTTCTCTGTCTTGCTTTGGATGTGATCAGTTGAGCTGGAGAACAGCCAAGTCATGCTGAAAGGCCGCAAAGCATCAAGCTGTGTCATATCGTCTGCACGTCTAGTGCCCAGATCATGCAGTGTTCCCACTTACCAGCCTGGAGGGAAGGTCGCCTGACTAAGAAGACCAGCTGGGTGGGCAAGCTGGATGGACTGCAGGTTAGAAGACTTTGAGCTCATCAATTAGAAGTGTTGCCCTTACTTCCATTGCTTTGTGCATCTCATGCAGCATACTGTATAGAGTAGAATAGTTTCTAAATTGTATAAACTCCTAAATTATTGGCTGTTTCGGCAACTTGGTGAAACAGCCATTGTTTTTGTTATTTTTGGTGTGATGGCTGAACACAACTTGTAAGTTGTTTGTTGTGTCACATTCCGAGCAATCACATATCAGACATGTCAGATTGCAGGTTTTTTGGGGAGGCATAATAAAAAGTTAGGGGCCCAAACGTGCAAAAGATCAATGTGTGTGAGACAGCTCCACAGCTTGCCCAATTGACCTTGCGGTTTGCATACCACATACGTTGGCCACGTGCACTCAAGCAACTGACCTCTGCAAGAAATCCAGTCATTGGGGGAAAACTTTAACGAAAAAATGATCAGTGGTGTCTTAACCAATGAAACCGAGTCTTACATGAATGGAAAGAGAACTCCGTCCTCTTTACAAAACCGCTACCCCCAGTGTGCTGTGACATTGGGTTCTTGAGATACGTTGAGATAAACAACCAAAGGTCTGTCACAAACGTTCATATTCTGTTCCGCTCCATTGGCAATTGCCTCACCCCCCACATTTTCAATAAAAAAATGATCAGTGGTTTTTCTGCCATTCCAAGCCAGATATAGATAGGCTTGAAGCCATAAGAATGAATTTTCATAATCTGCAACCCCCAGATTTGTGCGACCGTCTGTTCTGAAGATACAAGAAATTTAGTGTAAAAATCTTTGTGGTCATTTCCCCACGTTAAAGCTTGTGTGGACATTTCCTGTTGAGCAGAAGCATGCTAATGTTCATTATAAAAACTGGGGTTAACTCTTGTCTCCTGACGACGGGCAGAGTATGCTGTCCAAAACGTTGAGTTAAAACTGGTTCTTCTCGGAACCACCACACACTCACAAAAGAGATTAATTTCACATGGTGCCACCTCAAACTTACCTTGCTGTTATCCTCACCATACAAACTTCATTCTTATCTACGATGTAACAATACAATTGTTGACTGCTGTGATGTGGGATATGCCATTTTGAACCCCCTTGGGGTGCACACCTAGGGTGTTGTCATATCCCACATCACACCAGTCAACAATTGTTAATTGTAACTGAAGTTTGACTAGAAAGAGAAAAAGTAATGAAGTATATGTGTTGTCAATTTGTTCACTTTGAAATGTAGGTGCTATATGAAATGTCAGTGGCAGTCAACTGTGAGGAAGCCAAGAAACCTGTCTGCAAAAACAAGAACAGATTCCCCAATGTACTTCCATGTACAGGTAAGTTCATTTTGTAGAAGTTAGTATAAGTTTAAATAGACCTTCAAGTTGAAAAGTGGCCTCTTGAGGCAAACACTTGTTGGCACACTCACACTGCATTGTGGATTGTTCTTAATTGTAGGGAGATGGGTGCTAGGGTAGTCCATGGGATATCCTCATGCATAGCAAGGGTCTATGATATGCAAGCAGATTCGGCAAGTAATTAATGCAAAACAAGACTGTGTCTTGATCTCGATATTCTGACCATTCAGCAGGCGCCTTCTTTATCGGGTCTAATTCGGTAACCCATTGTCATGTACATCTAATAAAACGTAGACACGACATATGCTTTTACGTTGTAAATTATGTTAGCAAAAATAGCCTACGTCAAGCAGACTGTATCAATACGTTACGCGATGCCCGAACATCCTGTGACTTGAATTATCATCATATAGTATTTTGAATAACAGACGTAATGAGAATGCCCTCTTGCGCATTCAAAGTTTCACCCACGGTGAGCGTTCCCGTATGTTAACAGTTTTGAAAGCCAATGTCAGGTTTTATTAGATCTCTATGTCCGTTGTTGTATTACACAAACATGGCATCAAAATTGACCAATCAACAGCTAAGTCCAGATTTCAGAATGAAATGATGTCATGTCGACTGCAATTGGCTGGCGCGCAGGTTCGCATAAATTTGCATGCGTAGATATATCAGACGTTGGACCAGAGACAGAGAGGGTGATACAATGGGTGATACTCAGACTAGTGTTAAGGCTTCATTCTTACTAAACCATTTTGTATTTCAATTTATAAAACAAAGAGTGGACTGCAACATTATGCAATTAAAGGGGGTTGATACCATCCAAATATTTTATTGGTCCGTAACTAGTTTTAATTGTAAATATGTAAGGGACTGTTAAACCTGATACGATGTTAGAATTCCATATTTCTGTGTACCTTTCAAAGGTGTAACTATGGGGTATGTGTCTCTCCTCCCCCCACCCCCATTCCATTTGAAATCTTGAATTGCACACAACAAATGTATATGTAATCTTCCTTCCCCTCCCCCTTTCAAAAACAAATTGGTGAACCCCCCAGCTGCCCCACTTGAAGCTTAACCCTAGTTACACTGTTTGTACCTTTAGGAAGTTCCAGATCACGTACATGTCACTCCCATAGAATGTGCGATACTTATAAGTTATCTATAGGTGTGGTGGGTACTTGACTGCACCCTCGGCAACCATACGATATCAGTTCTTCCATGTGTTAGATGTCAAGTTTAACTGTTTTTTCACCCGTAATTTAAAGAAATATTTACTTTCAATATTTTTTGTATAAGCATGCCCTAAAAATGCTATTGCTAGACATTTAGTTTGGAAAAACAATTCCATGCTCTGATTTTTCCCTTGTAAAGTGGTTGCTAAGGTGCCAACAAATTTTAATCATTCATGTGTCACTTTTTTGCTTAGGATTTCTAGACATTTGAAGTTTTCATAGGACAATAAAATACTGAACATAAAACCCCTAGTGGTACTAGACCTTAACAAGCCTGACTAATTTTCTAAGATCATAGTTACATACTCAATATATTTTGAGAGCATTTGGACAATATTCAAATGCGGTCAATCAGGAGATAACAACAACCAAGAGAAAATGTGTTCACAAATCTGATTACTTGATAATCCCCTCTACCATTATGTACAAGTATAAATGTTGGGGAAACCACTGATATTATGTTTTTGTCGAAAACAAAATGGTCCTAAATGTAAAAACAAATGACAACAGAGAAAAGACGGTTGTTTCATGAAATCATTGTTGATATATTCTCAGAAAACGTTTTTTTAAAATGTCTTCGACAAAATATACAGTGAATAAACTAACTAGTGATACAATAACGGCTTCCAAATTAAGTGGTCTATAAACGATCAAAGGCAAAGGTGTTTTTTTTTTTAGTCGTTCCATCAGTGTAAAATAGGCAGCTCTCATTATGTATGCAAATAATCCTAGGAGTCACACATGCCCAGTGGAAAAAGCGGCTGAAACGTGCGTAGGATGCTGATTGGTAAAATAACAGACTTTGAATCTTTGCTGAAATGCCATTGTTGTCATGGAAGCTGTGTTCTCTTGGAGAGATATTCTGTAATTAAAGCAAATGCTCATTGTTTCATTTAGACAACTTGGTCTATCAGCATTTAGCAAACCAATACTTATTCAAAGAAGCAAAAGCCTCACTCATTTATTGAATTAACTAAACTATTATTTTAATGATACAGAACCTCTCACAAGGAGGTCATTCTATACATTTAGGGTCCAAAGTCAGACATTTTTCTTGTCCCTGCAACCTCCAAAATTTATCATTTGCTATTCAAGTGGCATTAAAAATGACTTCAAACTAATTAATGATAATAATAATAATAGTAATCGGCATTTAAGAACGCTCTTATTAGTTAACTAAATCACAGTGCTTACAGTATTATTATTACCCCTGATCATTGGGCCAATTAAACATTCCAAATACCATCTCAGCTCCCTGGGGAGTATACAGCTTGATGCTGCCTGTTAGGCACAAACAAGCTTATTCAATCACAATAACTATCTCTGCCCTCACAGGTACCCATTTACTCCTGGTTGGAGAGAAGCAATGAGTGACAAAGTGCCTTGCACAAGGGCACACGCACAATGACCCCGGCCGGACTCGAACCCACAACCCGCAGCTTTACACACAGACCACGAATCCTGTGCCATTAACCACGAGTCCACATTAATAATTAATATTTGTTGGGTAGGTCATTTGATTCACAGAAGCATTTTTGGAGGAAGAGTACACACATAAAGGAGTGCATCTTCAATTACAAAATCGTAGATACCAGACTGATAGGGACAGGATAAAACTGAACCTCAAATTCACAAAATGTTCCAAATGCATCTTCTAATGTAGCATTTAAAAACTCCATTTAAGAAAAGCAAACAAACAAGATTTCAGTTTACAAATGTACATCCACCATACTAACCACATTTACAAACATCCATGTATCATTCCAGTAGAATGCACAAGGTTTTCATTTCCAACTTGGTTGTAAACTAATGTAAATGTTGTAATGAAACTACTATTAATTTGATGAGGCACTCATCAAATTAATATTAGTTTTTATTATTGTTTTAGTTCAAAATCACAAATATTTTTTCCATTTGCTTTTGAGTAATTTACTTTTGTCTCATGTACACAGAGGTGCATAATCTTTTTCATTTGAAATATAAGTTGCAGTCATTTAAACTCAACAATTATTGAACAATCCAATAACAAAATGTAATGAAATGTTTACATTTTATACAGGAGCAGGGTTATATCTTATCCTTAGAAAACACATCATGCATTGACTTTCTATTTGCTGAGACGAATCTGAGAAACTTGAATTGCCCTCTCGTGGTTATACTTTCCCTTTTGTTTAAAATGTACACTGGGTAATATTTTGAAAATGTGCACTCATCCCTATTTGCAAACAATGTGAAGGGTCATTCCTTTGCCCTCGTTATGGGCCACCAGATCTAAGATTTTATGGGAAGTAGGCTGGGCGTTGAGGTCCAAGATTTTTCAAAGGGGAAGTGGTTTAGTGTTAGAGTCACAGAATACAGAGACCATAGACCTTAGAAATAAACCAAATGTACAGTATTGTAGAATGTCATTCGAGGGAATTATGTTCTTTTTCAGTGATAACAATGCTCAATGTCTGATGGAAGTGGTTGTTGGATACACTGGATAGCCCCAGTTTAATTGATCTGTCCTTACACTCGGTGATAGACCTGTACAGACTGTCCTGAAGCCACTACCAGATCACTATCCAATGTGAATGTGATGCCACGTGGATCACTGCATCCCTTGATCACACATCCAATGTACATGCCATTAGGACTGTAATGCAGAATATCACCTGTTGGATGTCCGAACACAGCAACATAGATGCTGCCATCACTGTTACAGCACACACCATTAGGGTAGTAACCCTCCTGCATGTTGCTGGTCATATCTACTGAGAATACACTGGCACCATAGTAGTCTACACATACCAACCGTTTGTTAAGCCAGTTTGTGTAGATAAGGTGGTGATTGTGCATTGTCAGATAATCTCCAATCAGTGGAGCAGGCAGTCTCCTGATGCGGGATCCATCTGGGTTGTGTAGAGATATCTCATTCTTGCCATCATAACCCACTGCTATCAGATTGCTGTCATCCACTGCAAGGCATGTTGGTTGGCTGTGTAGCCATTTACCTGGTTTGAACTGGTGGAGCTGATGCTGCTTGCTGAAGACCTTGACTTTTTGACCATCTATGACAAATAGCTTGTTATCCTTGCTCACTGCAATACACCTAACATTAGTGAGGCCATTGATTTGTGGCCTTATGATTGGAGATTCCTGATGACTTTTTGGAATTATAACAGTGAATAGTGTTTCTCTTTCTCCACTAAATGGTACGGATAGTGCAAGTGCAAGTATTTGATTGTTAGAGAGTGCTGCAACAAGTGACATGAATGATGATACACTTAATTCAAAGTTCTTGATTTCTGTCTTCAGTTTCCATTTCTCCTTCACACATGTTCTTCCAGGTCTTGGTGATTGCTTCGCAGCACCCCTTGACTGTTCTTCAGTCTTCAGTTCCCATTTCTCCTTCACAATTGATCTTCCAGGTCTTGGTGATTGCTTCGCAGCACCCCTTGACTGTTCTTCAGTCTTCAGTTCCCATTTCTCCTCCACACCTGATCTTCCAGGTCTTGGTGATTGCTTCGCAGAACCCCTTGACTGTTCTTCAGTCTTCAGTTCCCATTTCTCCTTCACACCTGATCTTCCAGGTCTTGGTGATTGCTTTGCAGCACCCCTTGACTGTTCTTCAGTCTTCAGTTCCCATTTCTCCTCCACACATGATCTCCCTTGTCTTGGTGATGGCTCTACTGCTGCCTTTGGCTCTTCCTCCAGAATGAGTCTCCCAAGTGACCTCTCACCTTCTTCAAAGTCCATAAAGGT